TTATACTCAGAGTATAGAAAAATCTGTATTTTTAAAATCTCTTATCTGTTGGCTTGATTTTATTATTTTTGTACATCGGTATAATACTTTCTCCTTTTGAGGCTGTGGGTCGGCTGTTTTATTATTAAATAGTGCAGCACAGATGGCAGATACCAGACATCAAGTAGTGCAAATACAAAATGGTGCTGATGTTTGCACCTGTGAGAAACCCATCATTTATCAGGCCAGATATTACTCTCAGACTTATTTGCTTATTCTGACATGTTTTGCTTTTAAGAGTTGACTTTGTAGCGCTGGATTGGTGTATTTTAACTTCAGCTTGCTTTGTGTTCACGAAAGTAGCCTTAGGCTATAACAGCATCATATAGCAGCCTTCACGGCAGCGTTGCTTTCTGAGTTTTCTTGGTGCCAGCATGCCGAGCTGTGCCCCCACAGCAGTTATGGTGACAGGCGTCTGTCCCCACCGTGAGTTGGTGGCCTGCCTAGGAGAGGCAGGATGCTGCAGTACAGGAGGGAAGGCAGGAATGGCCCTGGGTTCGACAATGTCCCCAGAGGGTTGTGAGATGCAGCAGGTTTTTCACGGTTCTGGCAAATTCAAGCAATTGCTGGTGCTGTTCTTTTCAAGACTGGTAGACACTCTTAAATAAACTTGCTGTTATAAACCCATCATGAGTTAATTAAAGCAGTTACAGTAAAATCTTGTTCATTACTAGTGGTAGGAAATTCCCTGATAGCACGTGATGCCAGACTGATTTTTGGTGTGGATCAATTCAGAAAAATTGGGCCATCTGCTGGGACCATCAGGTGGTTTGAATTTAGGAGAAGAATCTTCCATGATCAGAACTGCACTGTGGCTATTTGAGACTTGTGAGTGAAGTGATGTTTCCATCTTAGTTGGCTGTGATCAACTCAGTCTTTCAGCCTGCCAGCACAGAGCATCGCTCCTTCTGTACGCCAGCAGAATAAAGTCCACCCTTCATCTTCCACAAGGTCCTGCGTGTTCAGTCTCCTTGCCCTGTGGGAGATGCAAGTCTTAGGCCTTCTCTGTCTCCTAACAGCACGTACCAGGAAAAGCCAATTGCGACAGTCTGTCTGGTTCAGTCACCCGAGGTTGGGGTAGAAACAGAAATCCCGTGCCATTTCACAACTGGGTTTTGTAGCTGTTAACCACTGGCAAATTGATTTAAATCTAAATGCCGAAGCTTGGAGAGTGGAGGGTTTTTTGTAGCATAAGCTACAGGTGTCAGAAGCTTGTTTAACAATTTCTTTAACTCTATTGAAGATTACTAGGCACTTGTTTTAAAAAGTTGGTATTGTGTACATACTGCTAGAATATGCTGTTCATTGACGTGATCTCAGTAATTTGGTATATTTTGTTTTTCAAAGGTTGCTACAGGTATAATTCTGAGCTTTTTTTTCCCCCCAGAATATTGACATAATTAGGTAAAGCTTAAGAGATCTTTCCAACTGGAAGAGGCTTTAGTCACCCTAAGGGTTAGACTGCTTTAGTTTTTATTCAGATTATCATGTTGTATACTAAAAGAAATTAAAGACTGACTTCCAGCCACCGTTGCAAGTACACTGATGGAGAGTTGTTATATTTTGTGTGTCATGTGGCTGGTGTAGTCCAGTCAGATAAAATGATGATTGCAGAATGCTAGAGGGAATGTTTTTAATACTATCAACAACATTCATCTTGAATCTTCGTTATTTTTGGTAGACCAAGTTCAAGTACATTATAATAGTGTCTCGGAGGTTGTGAATGCAAATAAAAGTCCTGGTAGCACAGGTAAAGGTTTTGACTAATATACTTGTTTTTATTGTTGACCTGTATTATATGGAAATAATAGAAAAGGAAGACAAAATTTGAAACTATTCCTTACTTAGTTATGACCAGAAAAAGTATTTAATACTAAGGAGGCTTTTTTGGCAAATTACAACATAAACTAGAGACACAATAAGTGAGATACCCATACAGCATCTTCCTGCTCCATGAGATTTGAGAAGTGCTATGTTTAGTCAGCCTGGAACAGAGCCACAGAAATTTTTATTTATTTCTTCTTGAGGCTTGTTATCTTTGATGTTCTATATATGTTATGGCTTTAAAACTAGTTGTTAGAATTACTGAATTCCATACGTGGTCTTTATTACTGTTTTCTATAAAGGTTTTTCTACAAGTCATTTTGCAATTAACTTTTCATGTAAAAGCAAATGGCACAATATAGGTGACCTACTTTGCAATATTTCAAAAGAAAATCTAATTTCTAATAAGCAGTGTTCATTACATATTATTTGCCATTCCTTTGCTTGTAACTGAATTTTAAAAATCAAGTACTACTTGAGGTAGAAGAGATGGGATTCTTTTTCCTCTCTTTCAAGTAGTTTGCTACTTCTTAGGTCTGTGATTTTTTTTTTAAATTTTTATTATTATTTTTACTCCAAGTTAATGTTATAAATAGAAGGTTTTTATGCTGAGTTTTATACCATCTTCTGCTTATTATATCACATGCCATCACAGCAATTTTTGAATGCCCTGAGCAGCTGTTCTTACAGGATCATCTCATTGGCTTCACTGTTTTGCTTACCTGTCCCAAAGCTAGTAGTACTTTTTGACTGCTGTTTCTATCTCAGTGTCTGGTTGGTTTGGGATTTTTTGCATGTGTGCCCTTGTCATTGTCTCTGAAGGTGTCTCATAACTTTTTTCTGTAATTCTTTCCATGGAATTACAGTTTGTCACACCTTGCAACATGTTCTTGGGTTTTCCAACTTGTCAAACTTGAATGAATTTTGTTGTTTTTTGGGGTTTTTTGTTTGGTTAGTTTTTTTTTTTACCTCGACATTTGACTTTGCCTTTCCTTTCTTGAAAGGAAAGACTTCTCTTACCAATGTTTAACAAATATCAGTTTCATAGTTTGGATGGGGAGTGTGCTTTTGAAGTCTGTCTCCCAAGAGTCCCCACTTCAGCATCCTTTGGATCATGTTGCAAATCAGTCTTGGTGTGAGTGAATTTGATTCCTTCTGGATCAAAGTAGGCTGGAAAAGATGCTCCAGGAATGCACCAAATGTGTTGCTCTCACTAGCGGGCAACTAGTCCAGTGCATCAGGTGTTTTAGTCTTGGCTAACTCTGGTTAGAAATGCATACGATATCTACGTTAGGTCCTCAGGATCACCTTATTTGTTTTACAAATGTACTTCTCTCTGGCTGCATTACTTGTTCTCTTTGTTCACAGCCAGTTCTTCATTAAGAAAGGAAAAATTCAGGCCACTTTGACCCATACCTTAGTTAAGTTTTTTTTCTGCAAGAAGTTTTTGTCTTAGTATTTCAAGCCTCCTGTGTATGCAAGTGTGGATGTTTATTGCTGGAGTTGCTTACTGTCAAATATGCACATTTTGCTCAAAAACTGTTTGAGTACATGGTATTTTGGGATGATATTTCTGATACTTTCTGATTATATTGCCTGCTGTAATTTCTCATGTCTTCTGTATGTATGAAAAAAATCATAAAGACACTGTGATTTACAGACATGAATGCCACTTTTGATATTTAGTGCGTACCCTGCATGTCATCTTTCTCATTTCTGCCATCTAGATTTGGCCCCAGTATGGAAAATCAGCAGATTCCGTTTGTAAGGTTTGTTTGGGGTTTACATCTGTCTAGATTAAGTCAACAAAGCAGTTTGCAGTTTATCACAGTAAAAGTGGAGGGGAAAAAAAGATAAAAAGAAGAAAAAGCTGGAAAAGCTTGAAATCCCTACATGTATAGTAATCAAGACATTCCTTTCCTTGAAACCATCATAAAATTCGATCCAAGTCCACACTCCTGCACTAAACAGTCATTTGCCTGTGGATTAATAGGTACAAGTAGTATATTCTGTGGTGAGCTGGGTGGCTTAGGTCAACTATACCTCTCCTTTCTCTGAGAGACAAACAGCTCAGCCTAATGTTGGAGAGCATCCACTCTGTTCTTTAAAAACATCCGAGGATGGATGTTCCAGTCTTTAACTGTCCTTGGTTGCAAAGGGCTTTTTTTTCCAAATACGTAGCCTAGATCTCCTGTTTCTCAATTTTTTCAATACTTTCCGCTTCTGCAGCAGCACAGGGAGTAGTTTATTCTTTTCCTCTTACAGCAGTGACTGGAAGTCTGGTGTCGTGTCCCTACCTTAGTTGCCTTCTTTCTGAAGTATGAAACCCCCAAATCTCAGTCTTTCTTTGTAGATCATGATTTATTTTTCCTTTTAAATCTTACTCTTCTTGAGAATTCCTTTAGTTTGTCACATTTCTTGGGTGATGTCTGGAAGCTGACAAATAAGGTTTTAATGGAAATACTTGGTAATGTGATGTCTCTAAAGTGGGTATGATAGAACAGGAAAGATTACTTCTGACACTTGTACATCTTACCTATTCCTGTGGTCTATTCAAGCATGATGCTAGCTCTTAGGGTGGTACATTATAATTTAACATTGGAATCTTATCTGAAGTTTGTGTCTGTTTCTATATACCTACTGCTACCTAGCCACTCATGTCCCACCTTTTGCTATTTTAGCATTATATGAAACCTTGCAGTTGTTGTTACTACCTTGAACAGAGATTGATACAAGTGTGTGATGCATGATTTGCAGGGGGGAAGCCCTATATCTGATATAAATAACTAATAATTATTTTAATAGTTTATTCTTATGTAAAAATGCGTCTCTTAGCTACAAGGGTGTTAAAACTGGAAGCATTTAGATCTTCTTCCTCTATGCTATTTCTCACAAGTAAAAAATGTCTGGTTTTATGCATGTAAAGTAATACATTTTCATTGACATTTAATATACTGTTACAGTTGTTACTGTGCAGATATTTTGGAGAGTTTCTAAAACTTTTGATGACTTAAAAGAAGTTTTCAGTTGCTGTTTTGGCTTTCCTGGCAAAATAAGATACTGTTGTGAACTTTCAGAGCAAGATGGCACAATATCTTTGTGTCTTTTAATAACCTTTTATTCTTCCTACATTTCAGATGCTGGCATCACCATCAACATCAGGTCAGCTGTCTCAGTTTGGGGCAAGTTTATACGGGCAACAAAGTAAGAATTCTTTTCATTGCTGATATGTTTATTTTATGCTAGATATGTTCTGGTTTCATGCTCTTTGGATAGACAGCATGCACATGGCTTTGTTTTCTGGTGATTGTAAAAAGTCATTATGTCGTCTTATTTGTGTGTTAGTTGAGGTTTTTTTGAGGTTACATTTTTTTGCTTTGCTTAGTGTGCATTTTTGCAGTGTTTAGTATGCAAGGTGTCATATATTGACACTGTATGTCTCTTAAATATCAGAATATAATCATTCTGTAAAGAATGTCTGTGATTTAACTGGATCTCTGAAGGAAAACCTAAGGAAAGTGAGCTGGGCTAAAATGAGCCTAGTTCGGAAAAATGTGTAAGGAAATTATACCTTAAATTATAACCGATATTTTGTGCTCTGCAGGAGCAAATTAAATCTTGTGTATGTGCTTGGCAACTTGCATTTGGCAGAGATCTACGCCAGTAATGTTATTGCCTTCTGCACCATTTTTTTTCTATCTGATATCTTGAAGATTTTTCCTGTATCTGCCAGTCTTGTGTATGCTGTTGCTCTAGGAGACCTATAGAGCAGCAGAAACAGTGAGTAACGTCAGCCACCTGACTTAAGGGCCAATGTTGAGAGCTGAACCTCCTCCTAGCTGAGAGGTACATCCAGAAAGCAACTCAGAATATCAGGGTTAGATACAGTTACACAAGTAAAACGGATTTGTGAACATCTCTCTCTTGCCACTGTATGCTCTTGGGTGTTTGCCAAGTGCATCTGACTCAGATTTGCAGAAAAAAGGTGTCTTCAGAGCACTTTGGAGAGTGTGGATGTTTTTAGCAAAAGCTTTGTCTGCTAGATGCATGGCCTTCACAACTTCCTTTAGCTTTCTTCATCTAGTAAAAAAAATAGTCTTTTTTTTTCCCTTTCTCAGCAGCTGTTGATGAGTGACCATGTAATACAAATTGGCATTTGATTATGCTACTGAGATTCATGTGAGCAGTTTCTAGCCAGTCGGAGAGCCGTGTTTGGTTCTTGGCTTTTTGGGTCCTCAATCTGGCACTTTTGAACCTTTCAGACTTAATTGTATAAAAATAATGAAATAGTTTATTTTTTCTGTTTTTTGCATTTATTTGTTTATTTTTAAGATTTTTTTTTTCATCAACTTTGTTGTTCATTCAGTTGATTGTGGTGCCTAGGACATAATCTCTCTAACATGGAGACATACATGGCTAAAACCCAGAAACTAAATATTATCAGGGTTCAGATTCTACCAAGTATCGAGAAAAAGGGGTGAGGAACTTCTGTGTTGAAGTCAATGCTTATGATTAAAATACATATAGGAGAAACGAAGGTGATAATGCCTATACACGTTTAAGTTGGTAGCAGTTAGTCATTAAGCAAGATGTCGTGTTATAGAGTTAATGCTACTTAACTGTTAGGCAGGAAATTGGCCGCTTGATTCATTGGCCACAAATTCATCAGCCTCCAATACTGCCCATGCAGATCTCTTGTCTCAGTTAAAAAAGTGGAAAAAGGAGGAGTAAGAAATTTATATTTTTTTCTTACGCTGAGTATTTCAACTGCCCTTGTTTGCCAGCCACATGAATTTGGTTCTTCGTTACTGTAACAGCCCTACTCATTCAAAATTCTAGTTTAGCGAAAGTGAATGACTAAGAAATAACCATCAGGGTAAAACTGGCTTTGCTGACACAAATGCCTGCACAAAATTAACCTGAATATTTTTCAGGGTTCTGTATCTAGTTTGGAAGCGTATGTGTTTTTTCTCTACCATTTTATTTTGAAAATTTCAATCAGTGTGAAATATTATTTATAATATATATTTTTGCTCATTGAAATTATTCTGATGCAGCAAATTGCCAAAATATTTACAGTGAACACTTTGATGTAATCACCATTTAATGAAGTCTTAGGAGGCCTGTTATAGCAAGTCACACTGCCTCTTAATCTGAATGTATAGAGAGAAATTTGAGTGTTATCAAAACTTTGAGTGTTACTGGAAGCTTCTTGGATTGCAAATTGTAGGGTAGGACACAGCTAGCAGTTCTTAAAGTGTGAAAGCTAAACGGTTGGAAGGTTTCTTTATTGTCCAAAATAATAACCTGGGGGTATGCTGTGTCCATTCTTTGCATCCTTAGTATGTAATCACATTATACACTGGTGCATTCAGCTCTTCTGCAAGGGTGAGCTACCATGGGAGAGTGCTGGTTCATCATAGTTTTTCTGTTGTTTGGTCTGCAAGATAAGGGTTTGAGTTCTGTGAGTCTGCCTCAGCAGCCTTACACGAAAGCAATAGGAACAATTACTTACAGCTATCACCTGTAATGTGCTAGGTTTGTTTCTGTTGATATATTGCCCTGAGTTACTTTTTCTTGTCTTTGAACATCATTTCGAAACTTCATAAACACAGAAAAGTAATGCGAGAATGATGAGAAACTTCATGAAATTTTAGGACATTTTGAGACAGGACAGCAACTGGTCATCTTTTGCTGTTCCGAGTTGAAGTGATTTCTTTTTTTTACCTCACTGAAGTGCTTACTTCAATCTGTCACACCCAATTCTTTGTGTAGAAAATACTTTTGATCACAGTGTTAAAAACCATCTGTATATTTCTAAATGCTAATAGAGGGCAGTTAGAATTCTACTTGCTTTCTTCTCTCAAAAGATTGAACTTGACTGGATCATGGACACTGAAGTTTTGTTATCAAAAAGAAGCAACTTAAACTTTACAAAGAACTGGCTTAAAATGTTGCTTTTGTTGCTGTAAAAGCAATGTTATTGTTAACTAAATGATAATAGTTTTCTTTTTTATTAAAGATTTGCTTACTTTTTAACAAGATAGCGTTCTCAATACTGGTCAAATAAATGCCAGCTTGTTCAAAAGTAATTATTGTAATCCTTGAGTGCAGTTATTAATTTTCTCAAAATGCTGCCTTTTTGGAGATAATTTGTAGACTTCCACGTCCTCATCAAAAACTCAAATTTTGTTTCCCTTGAGGCTGTTTTTGTTAGTGACTCAAATGCAGAAATTCCTTAGGGCCTTCCTGAAGTTTAACAAAAATGGGGCTAAATTTGAGATAATCTGACTTCTACTGTGCAAACAAGGACTCAGTTTTTACACTGCACTTTCCTTCAGTCATTACACTTTTTAGTAGGTTGTCAGCATAAGTTATTTCCATCTACACCTGATGGAGAAGACTTTGTTCCTGATTGCTCTGTATCTCCACCCCTCTGAATTTTTTTTCAATAGGTGCACTAGGCCTTCCAATGAGGGGAATGAGCAACAATACCCCTCAGTTAAATCGCAGCTTATCACAAGGCACTCAGTTACCGAGCCACGTAACGCCAACAACAGGGGTACCAACAATGTCACTTCACACGCCTCCATCTCCGAGCAGGTATTTATTGATAGCCAATATTTCTGCCATTGTGTCTTTCTGCAGAGCGCTTGTTAACTGTTCTGCATATTTTGCCTCGACTACTTTACAGTCTGATTAATTTTAAAAAAAGAAGAAAAGTCATTTCTATTGAGCACTGCCTGTGCTAGGGAAATAATACTGTAAAACAGTAAGATGGGACTTACTGTAAGACAGTACTTGATTTTTGTGTGTAAAGGACCAATTGCTGGCAAATTCTGCTTCAGAATGTAAGAGGCTGGTTTTTGATTGTTCTGGTAAATGTACGGTTAAAACTTTTGTGCAGATGTCATACACCATATAAGAATATTAAGGTAGAAGATCTGAAGCACTCGTTAAAAAAAAGAGCTGTAACACCTTTTCAAATGAAATACTGAAGTACGTATCTAAACCTGATTTAAGGACTTGATTAGTATGTAATGGATCATCTGGTATTTCTGAAGAAATCCCAAACTACATTAATTATAGAGTAATCCGAACATGCTGTATCGATGCTAAGCACAAATTAAGTTGCAGCAGCTCAGAGTCCATCCTACAGTAGTAATCTAAATGAGTAACCAAATATTATTGTACAGATTCATCTCTGTGGATGGTTTTTCTCTTTCAGGGGGATATTGCCTATGAATCCTAGGAATATGATGAACCACTCCCAGGTTGGTCAGGGCATTGGAATTCCCAGCAGGACAAACAGCATGAGCAGTTCAGGGTTAGGCAGCCCCAACAGAAGCTCTCCAAGCATAATATGTATGCCAAAGCAGCAACCCTCTCGACAACCTTTTACTGTGAACAGGTAAGGCTGTTTAGTCGGACCATCCCTCTACAGCTGTGGACAAGCTTAAATGCTGCTCTGGAAATCTTAGAATAAAGCTCAGAAGCTGCTTTGTGTGTTCTCATCTTCTGCCAATAAACTTTGAAGCTACTTTTAATATTCACACAAGCTTTTGTTGGCCTTTAAGCTAAATTCTTTTTCTGACTATTGAACTTTTACTACTGCTGCTTTAAAATTGGGGATGTTTGTCATGTGTTCCCACGTTTGTTTTTTTAAACATAAATACATCTTGATTTTTGCAGATACGCTTCCATTTTAAGACTGTATATCTCTGAGTTTGGGAAGAAGTAAGGCAAAATTTTAAAATGCAGTAGTTATTGTGGAAGAATAGTTAACTGGTTCAAACACAGTAGAGACCTAGTATTTTACTTCTATGAATTCTGTAATAATACAGAGAGCAATGGTTTGCTGTTCGTTTAAGGATTTGGTGCTCATTTGGATGCCAAAAACTTCTCAATCACTTCTGCTTTTTTCTAACTCTGGGCAAGATTCTAACATCATAAATGATTAGGCTTTAACTATGTTTTGGTGCTGTGTTTATGCTTAGTTCATACTGATAAACTTGTAGTAAAAAATGTGTTAATTCTATTTAACGTGTGTAGTCACAGCTTTGCACAGCTGACTGCTTTCCAGGTTTCATTCCACATCCTCACCATTTCTGTGTTCCCAGTTTCATACTTTTTCTCCTGTCAGGCCCTTTCTCAGGGAACTGACTCTTATAGAGAGCACAAACAAGCTCATGGCAGTCAGATGCCACCTCTAACCCAATCTAGTATTTATAAAGTGAGTAAAGGAAGGTGAAAAACTAATACCATGGTTATCTGAAACTTGGTCAGGCTATTTAGTTCTATAGTTTCACACTGTGACAAAGGCATAAAATGTATTTTTTTTAAACTTGAGCATCACAAAAGGTTGAAGTAGTAATATATTTTGAAATTCTACCTACAGACGACAATAATTTTGGAGATGGATATATGTATAGAAAGTACTTGTTAAAGTATCATTCAGTTGCAGGGTAGATAGTGAAAGCTGTGTCTGTAGGAGCATTTGAATTAAAATCTTCATCTTTCACTATTTGCATTGTATATCTCATTTTCAAGAAACTACAGTTTTTACAAGTTGAGAAGGAAGTATCACTAGAACAATAAGTTCTTATTCCACAGTTTATGGTATACAGAAGTATAGTAGTAGTACATATCCAATTGTTAATTGATGTTTTTGACAAAATTTTGAATTATACTCGAGGGAAAAAATGTATGGTGCTTTCTTGGCAGGTGCATGTATTATGTGACCTGCAAGAAGTGTTTTCTGTATGGTTGCCTAGTTGAGGCAATGAAAGCTTTTAGGTTTTTGAACATAAAAATTACTTCACTTTCCCTTTCTTAGTTGCACTGTTAAAACAAGTTAAAAATTATTGTAGAGAAGTGTACATTTTCTGGCCTAATTAATTTTGTATCCCTGAATTGTTATTTCTAATTAAAAGCAAAGAAGAAACCCCTTGCCTGAGAAATACTGTCTGTCATCAGGCTAGATTATATGCCCTGAAGATCAAGTTGTCTCCTGTTGGTGCTCTCACCAGGCCTATAGTTCACAGATGATACCAAGAATGTGTTTCTTCAGATGCACAAGGTGTCAAAGATTTGGATGTTGTTCAAATACACCACCTTGGGGAAGCAAAGCATGCCAGGACCAGTCTTGGCTAACTGTTCCCTTTCTTGATGTTTCAGTCCAAAGTGAAGCATTTAGGCCTATTGCAAAGTGGAGTAAAATGCTTCAGATTTCTAACTGGAAAAAGTCTATGTAGGTAAAATTTTCACCAGGATAAAGTTTAACATTTTTATTTACAGAAACTTCTACAATATCAACTTCCAGCTGGTTACAGGGGAAAAAATGAATGTTGTGATTTCCAACAGGCTGGAAATTCAGAATTTCACTGAGCTGGGGACTGCTTTGGGCTTCTCAACATCTCCAGCTTGTACACAATGAAGTGAATAATTTGTGAGGGTGTCTTTATGACCACAGTAGTCCTTTGTGATATTTAGATGTTTTCAAACGTTTTTGCCTGACTGTATAAAACTTCAATTTCTGTGGTGTCCTTGTGTGGCAGAGACCATCCCTGTGCTTGTAATAGTGCCACATGTACATGATCATGGTTGCACAGTGTAACTGTTCAGCTATAACTGAGTCATGACAAACTTGATCACTTCCATGATCCAGTTTCCTACCTGCAAACAAATGGATTGCAGTCTGACTTTTCACTAGTGCATTTACTACTGTTTCATTTTTCTGTATGAAGTTACTGAGAAACAGTCATGTTTGTCATAGCTTGTTGGTTGACAGTGGCTATTAAAAACACTAAATTATTGTGAAGTCGTTCCAGTTGTCTTGATTGAGCAGTGCCTGCTGCTGCTGCTCGGAGTTTTCAGAAGTATAAAGGAAAAGAACTAAAAACTGAGTTTAGGTTAATGTGGATTGCTTAAGCTCAAATTAATTTAAATGTCTTAGGGTTGTTTTTTTTTTCTTCCCCTTAATGCCTTCCACTGGAAATTAAAAAATATGTATACCCTTTTGTCTGACTTCCTGGATTTTTTTCACAGTATGTCTGGATTTGGAATGAACAGAAATCAGGCATTTGGAATGAATAACTCCTTATCAAGTAACATTTTTAATGGAACAGGTGAGTTGATTCTGATCAATGTTGATCTTAAAGTACAGTAGAGATTTTTTTTTGACTAAATAAGTCTAATTGAATGTACTTTGTTCTGTTGGTGTGCAACCTTGTAGTAAGTTTCACAGCACTGCTCTTGGAGAAAATAACAACATAATAAGGGTGGATTTTAATACTTTTGAAGACAAAGTGAAAGTATTCTGTAGAATACTCACTCTACATCACATGACTGTAGATTATATCTGGTTGGTTAGAAATGCAAACAGACTTAGGGAATTGAAAAGGGGGTCAGAGAAAGAAAGACTTATCCATTTTGTACAAAACCATTATAGGAAGGTATTTTTTGGTATCTCCAATTCCTTTTAAACAGCTGGTTTATAACGTGATCCTTTCGATTCATTGTTTCAGTTGTGATTTTTCTTTGGGAATTACATCTTCACCTGAATTTAATGAACTAGAGAAAGGAAAATACCCTTGTACATAAATGCCTTAGGTTTGTCCATGTTGTTGTTTCTGTGGGTGACTGTGTATGTGAAGCAACTCAAGGTGGTGTTGACACAGGAGTAAAGGGTTTGGGCATCCCCTAGGACCTTGTGGCATCTTTATAGAGCTGCAGCTCTGGCCTCGCCAATGTAGTGTTTTCTGCAGCAAATCAAAAAATGTTCCCATGTAACTTGCACTGCATTGGCTCTACAGCTGCTTCAGCTTTATCTTACATCATCTAAGGACAAATCAGCTTCTTGATGCTGCTGCTAATATGGATTATTATCACCTCTCTGATTTCTTTAAATTTTAAACAGGACCTATCCTGGTACTGTCATTTTGATAGTCTGCCTGTATTTTATGCGTGCATTCTTTAATTCAAAATGAGTAGGCCTTGTTCCCAAATACTGTTGACTAGCTATTGTTTAAAAACAACCCCAATATCTTGATGCTCTTTAGGCTAGCCTCGTAACATAGAGGCTGTAATTATTTGTAATAATTACAGTAAGAATAAAAAGATCAACCTGAAGAAAGAAAATATATCCTACATTTATCTTGCACGTAATGAAAATCTTTGAGTAAAAAATGTAAAAGAATTTAAAATATCTGGTTTTATTGTAGATGGAAGTGAAAATGTGACAGGACTGGACCTCTCAGATTTTCCAGCACTAGCAGACAGAAACAGAAGGGAAGGAAGTGGCAATCCAACTCCATTAATAAACCCTTTAGCTGGAAGGGCACCCTATGGTAAGACTATACTTTTGAAAGCTCTTAGAATGAAATTGGTATTTGCTTGATTTAACTTTTGCTGTTCATAAGACAATAGGTAGTCTTTTCAAAAATGCCAAAGATTTGAGCTCCTAAGTCTCATTTTTCAAAATAAATAATCAATATCTCTGTGACTGGAGGTTCTCCGCAGACTTTTGTAAGCATTAGGACTCCTACCCTGTAGTGTCTCCGCCAATAGAGGTTGCTGGGGTTTTCAGTCTGTGTAGTATGATTACTCTGAAGCTGCTCACTCTAGATATTTCTTGGTAATAGGTTCTTTTCTAATTTACAAGAACTGTCGAGGTCTGAGCAGTAAATTTTAGAAATAATATTTGATTACTAGAGGTGGTATTGTGTAAAATGCCAGCAGCTGTAAACATACTGTGTATTTTCTTTTTGTTTATTGGTAATACTTGCTGTAGTACTGTTCACTGTGACTCTTATTATGAACATAGATTTCAAAAAGGAACCTTTAAGTATTAACTATTATCAGTCAGATTCCAAGTCTGTGTCTTATATAATCCTTGCTGAACAGCTTAAAAAATAATAAAAGGAAAAACCTTTAAGGTGGATACAAACCTTATTATTTGAGCCTGGAAAAAATTCAGGTAAGCTTAGTGTGAGGCACAGTACTTGTTTTTGTTACTGCTTTAGTCGATTTGTCATGCATGTTATATCAGCTACTGTGAAAAGTTGCTTTTACAATAAAGTTATTTTTGTGACACTTGTCAAATTTCCAACCAAAAATAACCCAGTGTTTTGCAACTATAAAAAGTTAGTGTTTTTCAGAGATATCTCCCACTTTAATTGAAGAGAAATAATAGATACCACGTTATCAGGAGAAAGTAGCCTCATGGATTGGGTGTAACCAGGGCCCTTTGCTTAAGATAGCTGTGAGAAAGAGCTACAGGAGTTGAACTGAAGTGCTCCTAAACACAGAGGAAAGTCACTTCCCCAAATAAAGACACTGAAAAGCCACACTGCGAGTGAAGAGCTTGTGGTTTCCATTAAATTTTATCTATCTCTGAAAGAGAAGCCATTACATGGAAAGCTGATAGAAGGTGAGAAGGAGACCCACACAGATGTACTTCAGCATGGAGCTGGAGTTCAGCATTCAGCAGCATTGCTGCATAAAAGTCTGTAACTGCACCCATGCTTACACCATTTCCCCACTTTGGTGCTAGCATAGCTGTTTGCATGGCTGTGTGGTGAGCCAGGAAAGAATTTTCTCTTTCTGAAGAGTGATCTTGAGCAATTGGTTAGTGCAGGGCATGTGTATGGTGGTAGAAACAATCAAGAAATAAGGATATGTCATGAACTGGACACTCTTTAGCAACAAAAAGTGGAGAATACTTTTGGTTGTGATAAAGAAAAAAAGATTTGAAACTGAATAGAGATGTACTTTATTCTTAGCTTATTTAAGAAAATTAGACTTCAAACAACTTTTTAGATAGAATGAGAATATGCAAGACAGTTAATTCACTATCAGTTCTATTGTGGAAGAAATCAGTTTTATCAGTGGAAAATATCTTAATTCTTGGATGAAAAGGGTAAGCAGCAGAAACAAGATTAACTTAGTGTTTCTTTTCTTAAAATAAAGGAACTTTGATCTCTAACTTCAGAATACTAAAGTCATACATATTGTCATCTACTGAACTATTTTTAGATCCTAAACATCTATTAAGAATCTTTGAAAAATAGGCCCTAGACTACTGCTGTCTTTTTTTCCTCTAGTGCAGTGTTGTTTGTAACCAAATCACTGAAGGGCAATCAAGGGCAAAGAATATTTGCCCTTCAGTGCGTGGTGTGGGGGCTTTTCTTTGGTCGTTTTTTGTTTGTTTTGGTTTGTTGGGTTTTTTTAACTGGCATTAGAAAAAAAAGAATGTTGCTTTTCAGTAGTCAGAATCCATGTTCCAATGTGACTGGCCTACTTTTTTTAAATTAGGGTCAGAGCACTGAGAGTTGCAGGCTAAATGCTTTCAGTTTTCATACTGAAAGTAGGAGTCGTTCTTATGTCACAGGCAAGTATTCCATTGGTGATATGTTCTGTTGCAAGTTAGCTGGGCATCCTTTAAGAATATGTGCTTCTAAAGAGACTCTGCTAAGAAATTCTTCATGCAATTAGGGGATGGAGGAAAAATGTATTATCATCTTAAAAGCAGTACATCCTTCCTTCATCAGTGGATTTCCTTAAATACCGCTTCAATAATGCCTGTAAAGATTATTTGATTATTTAGATGTGCAAAATACGCGCTGTTCCTGGTGAAAGTACTGGGCTTCATTCTTAAAGCAGTAGATGTGTCTATGAATTTAACCCAGAGTGTTTCTCAGCTCACACTTAAATAAGAGGCTTTAGTCTAATGTGTGTGGATGTTTTACATGAAAATGCTTTGTTTTGGTTTACCTGTTTTTTTTGAAAGCCATTTCTGCTATACAACTTGCATATAATGAAAGTGGGCAGTAAGCAAGATCAACAGCAGGAAATTCTTTACTTAGCAGTTGTTCAATGTTATTCCTGCTTTCATTTTGATGATAGTTGGAATGGTAACAAAACCAGCAAGTGAGCAGTCCCAGGACTTTTCAATACACAATGAAGATTTTCCAGCATTACCAGGTTCCAGCTACAAAGACCCAACATCGAGTAATGATGACAATAAATCTGTAAGTAAACCTTAAATCTTCTGTCATTTTGAGTATTCACACTTCTTTTGATGGCAGTATTTTAAAATGGGCAGTGACTATATTTGTAATATAAGATTTTCAAGTTTGCTCCTCTAAATTACCAACAAATTTTGCATAAGCAGCACTTGATATATAACTATGTAAATGGAATTTTTCAGGATGGTCACTGTGACCTTGCTTTCTTCATTTCATATGTCTTCTCTGTATCCTTTTGTATTTTGGAGAGGGGCCAGGGAGGAACTTGCAACACCTCAGGATTTTTTTTTTTTAAGAATTTATTTTTTTTTTTTTTCAATTTTGCAGTTCTTAATTTCTTTTTCTACCAATCCCAGCTCATTTTTCACTGTTGGTGCCTCTCAGCAGCAGTAGTAATTTACCCATTCTAACATCTTTCTTCAAAGATGTCAAATCCTTTAAAAAGTTAGGCGGCACAATATCACTTCAAGGTAAAATACTTGATGGGGAAATGAAATCATGGGGAGCAAGCTCTTTTAATAGAGACCATTACGTTTATGAGTATGTTGTAGACTACTAGGATACACTGTATCTCTTACCATGCATTAGATACATAGCCTAGATCAGAAGATCATGGGCTTTTTTCATTTTTGACTCTGAAGGATTTGTAATAAAAATGCTTTTTATTACAAGTGAAAGGTGAATAGAATTTGGATGGCAAAAAAGTTTCTTACAGTATTTGACAAAATGTACTAGTTTCTGATTGGTTTATTACTCATAATTGCAAAACATATGTCAATCAGTGTGGCATAGTGATGAGCAGGTGGTAGATGTGACTACAAGCTTGTGAAAACTGACAAATGTAACTGTTCAAAAAAGGGACAGGGGAAAGCCTAGCCCCCAAATGTTATGGTCAAGTGTATCGTGTGGAAAATGTTCTGATGCAGTTCACGTTGAATACAGTAAGGAAGGAGGGAGTAACTTGATTACATTTTGTTATTGCAGACTTGTTTTAAAGAATACTAAAGGGTAAGAAATAGTAGTTATGGAAGGTATCGTATCAGTATATGGGCTCCTGGATGCAGTCACAGTTTTCTTGCCAGACATAGTGTGTACATCTCTTTCCTGATAGTTGCAAGTAACATACAGTTGGCACATTTGCACCTGAAATTGGCTTGAGTTATTATCTGTGGCTGTATCATGGAGTGTTATGCAGGAGCAAGACTGTATGGGGAAAGATCTGTGACGTGATGGCTCCAAAATATCATCTAGTCACAGACACTTGGGCTATCTATTGTGTATTCAAACACAGATGTAAAACATTTTTCATCCTTTTAGACTGCAAGCTGTAGGCTCTCTAGTAGCTCTTACTGTATGTCAGGTATACTTTAGGAATTAAACAGAGTTCAAGAGCTTCAGCGTGGTTCTGTTTTAGTGCCTCATTTGTCAAGGTAACTTGACATACTGGTTTAGAGTGCTTGATGGTCAACAAGTTTTTCCATTTTGGTTTGTTTCCATCATACCAACTCTGCAAATTATTTCTAAATAGAATTTGAGTACATCAGGCAAAACATCATCCAGCACAGATGGGCCCAAGTTTCCTGGAGACAAAAGTTCAACTACGCAAAATAACAACCAGCAGAAAAAAGGGATCCAGGTGTTACCTGATGGTATGTGTCATTCCACTTTTTCTTCTTTAAAAATTTTGATGGTCATTTGGATCACCTTGTGGATTCTTCCACTTCTTAAAAGGAGAAAATTAATGTGTTCTTTCTGCCTAGGTCGGGTTACCAACATTCCTCAAGGGATGGTGACGGACCAGTTTGGAATGATTGGCTTGTTAACATTCATCAGGGCAGCAGAGACAGATCCAGGAATGGTACATCTTGCATTAGGAAGTGATTTAACAACACTAGGTCTCAATCTCAACTCTCCTGAGTAAGTTTCTGGTTTTTAGTATTATCTTCAGTTTGGGTTTTATTATGCTGTCATTCATAATAGACTTACTTAGCTCACACGACTGTCAAACCCACAAGATATTTTGCCAAATAAAATTGGAAAACACGATGACAGTAAAACAAAATTTTTATAAACAAGCTAATTGTGCTTCAAGACATACTGAGATCTTGTTAGGCAAGCTTTCAATAAACCTAATGAATTTGCTTATTCTCCTAACTTCTTTAGAACTTTCTTCAGGGATTTAACAGTGTATGGTTAATACATTCTATATATAGGTTATTTTTCAAATAGTAATATTCCTGACACTTAACTCTCAGCAATTTGGGGGTAAATTTGATTTATATTAGTGTAATAATGAACAGAGCATCTGTAGTGTTAGTCTGCACCAAAGATTAATTTAAATCAAAACGTGGTTTTGTAGTTAACTCTCAGTCAGTCAATGAACCTAAGTTCATCTAGATTTCCCGTAGAGGCAATGGAGAGAAAAACAGTTACTAATGGTAAGATAAGCACTTAAGATAGGTGAGATGACTCACCAGCCCAGGGTGCCTCTCTTTCTCTGCTAGTTGCAGAAGAAACCTAGACCAGTTTGGACAAAACTGCTTGTCTTCTAGGTGACTGTAATTGAGAGCAGTTCAATTTCTGGTATGCTAACTTTCAGCTGAGAGTCTCCCATCATTTTATTTCAGCAGAGATTTACACAGCCTTAGCCTTATTGACAGAGCAGTAAATGCATTTTAAGTTTTGCACATAATATAGTAAGAAAGCAAAGACCACACAAGATACTCCTGCACAGTTTTCATGTTTTGCGAATTTATATGGAGCTGCACTCTGTATGCACAAGTTCAGGGAAGACAGAATATAGATGTCAAGGTGAGAGGAAAAGCATAGGAAACCTGGCTCCTGATTTTTCTGTCTTGAAATACTTGGGATTATTTTATATCTTTATTTCTAGAGTCATAACTTTGTAGAAATTACCACTTCCAGAAATTCTTTCTATAAAGCTTGCATCAAAACTTAACCAAATTGTTATGATGTTGGCACTTCTAAAATTATTTCAAAGTCGATTGACTAGTTATTTGCAGAATGTATTACATTAACGCAGTGTCTTCTTCATGTGTAGTGTTAGTCTTGCAGGTCACTTCTCCTTTGAATCCAGTAGTTTCCCCTTCTCCCACAACAGAAAGAGAATTCATAAGGAACATTTTTACTGGCCATGGGTTGCTGCTTTTTCTTGGCAGTCCCAGAGCTTGCAGCATTCACTGGGAGACTGGTCTCCTGGATCTATGCAATAAAGTAATTTGCTGTTCAGATAGCTCAAACTTAATTTGAGGCTGATCAGCTGACAGTGGGATGCCCTTCCTCACTGAAATAATTTCAAGTATATCTGTATCTGAGTTCTTGAGTTCTTCCTAGGCACAGGTAGAATCTGGCCATGTAGTTTGGTTATATAGCTACTTTCTCTAGGTGTCAGCATGCAGAATAGTGTATAGTGTGATACTACTTTCGGTGATATTATTTCATATTTTATTCAATGTTGTTCATTAGTTTTGATGACTGTAATAAAGCTTAACATACCTACTGAAAAGTCTACATAAAACCTCCTAGGTTTACATAGTAGCTCATTGTAGAGGAGCATACTCTGATGCTGTGGTGACTTGTAGCTGTGTTATGGAGCTCCTGAATACAGTATCCAAATTATTTGGGTATGTTTGTACATAAAATGTATCTCTACCTGGCATGCTGCTGCTTTTCCTTAGCAGTTATGCTGTAAATAGCTGGATTTTTAACATTTTTAACATTTAATTACTATTTATAGGGTACTTAGGGTCTTGGATGGAGGAGATAGGGTTAATATTTAATCCAGACAGTTCTGTGTCATAAAGTTGGTTTTATGTTATCCTACAGAAAAGCTTTGCAAACAGCTTGTGCATTTCTCAGTGTGTGACCTGCCATCTTGCCTTATGTTACACCTTACGTATGAGTTGTCATTTGAAAAACTAAAAGCATTTCACATGTGAAAAGCCATAATTTTCTGCCTTGTGAGGTACTTCTGATGGTAAAAATATGCATCTGACTTAAACATTTAGCACAATAAATGGCTTTTAGAATTCTCTACACTAATGGCTTGAATTAACCCTTCTAACTCCTAGTTTTATAGAGATTTTCTGTGCAGCTTGGTTAAGGTTTATTTCAGTTGTTGAAAGAATAATTATGTGTCGCCTGTGCAGTCTTTTAATTCTTTAAGAAATATTTTTAATCCCTTGGGATAACTTAAAATTCTATATAAACAAAAAAAGGAAAAAAAATTGTATTATTTAATTTAATTCTTTAGAGATTATGTAGCTGTTCATGTTCTGAAGCTTTCTGAAATATTCATCAAATAGACTGTAAGCTGTCCAATAGCTCTTTGAAAAATGTTAAATTAGTAGAGTTTTATTTGTATCATAGAGGGAACACTGTGCACAAATTCGTCAGTTTTCATTGCATACAGAGGTGCAGTCTGAGTCTGTAAAATCCTGAATTCTTTGTGTAGGAAACCAATAGCATGGTATTGTGGATAACTAAAAGCAGGCTGTAGCTACATGCCTAAAGTACATTTTGCTTAGTACTTTTTTTAACTTCTTTACCTGTCAATTAGAAAACTCCTCAGTACATCAGTCGTTGTAGTAGAGTTGGAAGGTTTATGAAACTAATGGCTCCATATTTTTTAATATATGTTAGCAAAATCTATATGAAAAAAAGTATTAAATCATAGTAAACTTATGTTCATGTTGTGCTGGGGTTCAATTTATTTTTCGTCACTGCACTTTACTCTTAAGTCTTTACCGGTTAGTTTAAATATATATATATTTAAACAGATATATATATCTGCCAGTATAAGCTTTTTTTTCCCACTCTTAAATCATAGGCTAATAAATGAGAAGTCACCAGGTTTGTGGCAGCTATTCCTATGCAAATTGAAACCCCGTGAAAAATTGGTTCCCTAAAAAGAGTTGGTATCCCTGGCACTTAAGTTACCAAAATGATAGATTAAAAGAAAATCTTGACCCTGTAGATTCCCTTGGCAGTTAAAACACAATCTTATTCCATGTGTTAAAAAGAAAATTAATAAAAAATAAATGTAACTTCTCTAAGTAGGTGTACTAGTGGACTTCCTTTTCTCCTTTCTTCTCACCCCAGGCATTGATTTTGTTTGTGTGATGCGATTTTTAGGTTTACAGGGTTGGTCATGGGAGTTTTTTGGTTGGTTGGTTTGGGTTTTGTTTTTCATTTTGATAAATCTGTTCTTTTCTTTTTCTTCAGAAATCTTTATCCCAAATTTGCATCACCCTGGGCATCGTCACCTTGTCGACCTCAAGACATAGGTAAGAGAGAAATAACTATTTAATAATATAGTAATATGTGCAAATTATATTCATTTACATGTCTTAATAGTTGCATCAATTCCGATTCTTTTTTAGACTTCCATGTTCCATCTGAATACTTAACTAACATTCACATTAGGGATAAGGTGAGTACGTGTGTGTGTGTGTGCTTATTTTTTGTTAATTTATTACCCATAATTTTCTAAATTTTCTTTCAGATAGGTAATGTTCAAATCAGTGCATTTTTATGGATACCCTCAATCTTTTTAGGAACAGTGATTCATTAACCAGCTAATTGGACACATTACACACCCAGTCCACATTAGAAAAAGAAAGGGGAAAACAAAACTGAGAATGGGCATGGTTAGGTAAAGTACACACTGTGGTTTTTAGAGTATGCCCTTCATGCAAGGCAGATGTTTGTTATAATCCACGTACTGTAGTATTCAAATGCCATGTTAAATTGAGGTATTTCTTCTTGATATAAGCTCAGAATTGTGGTTCAAGATAGTCTCACATTTATCTGTTGCTCATAAATAAGGGTTCTTCTCCTTAGATGTATTTTCTTTCAACTGTTGTAGTTCTGAAAGAGGGATCGCTGAGAAATACTGTAAGAAGTTGTAACTTAATAGAGTGTGAAGTGAGCAAATACATGTAAATAATTTTTTTTATTGAAAAAGTAAGTAGATGAGGATACACAGAGGTGCAGGGGGAAAATTTTGTCTTGCTGATTCATTACTTCTGTTTGTTTTTCTGTTGTATCTTTTAAGTTTGAAAAGCTAACTAAAAGTGAAGAAAAATTATTGTTTCAATAATTATTACTCTTGTGTATTAGAATATAATTTGCAACACACTTAGGATGGAAGCACATTCTGGATGTGTCCTTGTGTTATTTAAGTGGGATAGTATGTATTAAAACATTTATCTATTGTGATTTTTCATCCTCATTTTCTTCAATCTTTTGCAGCTGGCTGCAATAAAACTTGGCCGATATGGAGAAGATCTCCTGTTTTATCTCTATTACATGAATGGAGGAGATGTATTACAGCTATTAGCAGCAGTAGAGCTGTACGTTCAAACTATTTTGTCAGTCTTATATGATTTAATCTATTGCAGTAACAAAGTAGTAGATGTAAGCAAAAAACCCAACAAGTTAGACTCTGAAAAGAGTCAGTATAAAGCTGGAAGCTCTTTTAAAAATACCTCCTCCAACCTTGGTTCCATTTTATGCTTTTTTTCCATTGATATAGTGGAAATCAAAAGTCTGTCTCATAAATTTTACACTATTATGAAGCACTGTGAAAAAGTAGCAGGTGCCAGTCATCATTAACCATCTAACTTATCTTCAGAAAATGAAAAACAGTAAATAATCATAAAAAGAATTTGTTCTTTGAACCTACCAGATTTCTTTAAGTTTCATATGTGATTAGTTTGAGGTGTAATAATTGTATGGAAGAGGTATGAGATTGCAGGTGTAAGGATGTCTTAGAAACTTTGTTTTGATTTTGAATGCATTATGTAGTCTTGATGAAAACCCTTAAAAGTGTATTTTATGAAGTCAAATTCAGTCAACTAACACCAGAAATTATTTTTCCTTCCTATTAAAAAATGAAAGATTTAACCGGGATTGGAGATACCACAAAGAAGAGCGAGTATGGATCACCAGGGCACCCGGCATGGAGCCAACGATGAAAACCAATACGTATGAGAGGGGAACATATTACTTCTTTGACTGTCTTAACTGGAGGAAAGTAGCTAAGGTATCTCTTTTCCCTTGTGCAGATTTTTTAAGTCTGTCAACCGTGTATTTTTAAAAGGGCAAAAGTAAAACCCAACCTACTCCCTAAAAATTGCTAACTCCTTAACCTACCGTTTAAGTTCATTATCTTAATTTTTGATGTGTGAGGGAATAGAGGTTGCCTAGAACACTGCTTTTTTTGTGGAAAAGGAGATGTCTCTCAGTTTGCTGTGTTCCTTGGGAGGTACAAGGATGTAGAATTTGGGAGTTCTGTTTAGATGGAAAACTTTCCTCAAGTACAGAATTAAAGAACAGAAAGCATTGTTTGGCACTTAAGAAATTGTACTTGCAGATATTTTATTGTTTTGTCTTAGAAAATTCAATAGGGAGCTACCACATTTCACTTTGAAATTAAAAAAATAGGTATGATGGGATGTTTGAGGGGGGTTGAGTGTTTTGGTTTGGTTTGTTTGTTTAGGGTGTTTTGGATTGTTGGGTGTTTTTTTTTTTCCCCAGATATGTTTCTCCTTGAGCATACAGAGGACTTTTGTGCTCTGTTGTTTGAACATCAGAGCACTTGGAAATAAATTGCCTCTTTTACGGTGGAGGCATGTTTTCATGATGCTTGTTTTCTGTATTCCAGGCCAAGAGGCATAAAAAAAAATACCAAAAGCTACAGTCTTCTCCCTTCCCAGTTCTGATAATCTATTCATTCCTTTCTGTCCATGAGTACTGTCGGTAACGTTCACCTATTACTTGTTAGCTGAAGAATTTACTAGAATTGTGCTTCATTTTCTCTACCTTCCCCCAAAGATAGTTACTTTTCAGCATCTTCCTAAGACCATCCAACTTCCAATTCCAGCTTTTAAGACCATCTTGTACAATGCCTTTTCCTTGCTGGATCCTGATTTCTGTGATTTCTCCACTAAAACAAAGATTATTTTCTAATGCAGATATGTCCCAAAACACTATTTGAGAGATCAGGAGTGCTAACATTGACTAAACTGGCAAGAGATGTGCTCTTTTGAAAATAGCCTGCCCTCCAAGGTGATGCAGCCAGCTTTAGCTGGAGCTGAAAAAAATGCATTCACAATATATGTACAACCATTACACCTACCTAGAGCCTGTCTAAGTTAGAGAGTTTGTCAAGAAAATAATTCCCCACTTAAATTTGGTTATATGAGGTTTTTATGGATGTGGGATGATTGTGCTTCAAGTTTTAACTGACATGTTGGAGCAAACATAAAAATTCCATGTCAGACCTTCTGTAGATACGGTATCACACTCTTCCTTTTCTCTAAAAAACACTTAACAGATCAGACCAAATTAATCTTGAAGCCTTGAACTCAACAGATGCGATTCCAGCTTGTTGGAGCTATGTTTTGTGGTTCCATGTGCTTAGGTATTTTGTTTATTCAGAGTTTAATCAGGTTCTTCTATCAGTGGAATTGAGTTTTTACACTATGTGGAAACAACATTTCTTTTACTAGGAGGAAGTGGTGCCAATTGTATAAGGGTAGTAACAGCTTTAGTTTCTTCTTTTTCTACCTGTAGTAAATGCATGAAGCTGCTACTTGATGCTTAAGCATTACTTTTGAATACACTATTTTCTCTGTTTGGACTCCTGAGTGGTGTCCTGAAATTCAGCACCCAGTGCTTGAGTTGTTTATTAGCACACTACATCCTTCCTTTTTTAAAGAGTAGAGCCGATTCCATCT